TTGCATGGTCCCTCAATGACTGACGGTCTTTCCCTGTTGAAGGCTAGGGTTCGTAAGGTCTGTTGAGCAGTATCTGTGTTCCCTGTGTACGAGGGCATTTCAAATGGCTGCATGTCTGTAACAGTGGAACATTACACAGCAGCAAGGAACACCTGATGGTGGCATTGTCAAACTTGCCTGTCACCTACAATTACATAGAGAAGTGATGTGGTCCACTGAATGATTATTGCACGCAGAATGCTTTTATTTAAAAATTGCCATTAGTTTCTAAAACACCCACAAAAAAACCCGAAGCATTTATTTTAGGACCCTTGCTTTCTCTGGAGGCATGCACATTTTTTTGATGGATCCTTTTATTCTTCAGAGTAGCCATTCTCTTCCTCTGCCATGCAGTGAAACTGTATGTTAGGTGCCAGCAACTTGCTTAAATAGGAAGATAATGTGCCAACAGGAAAGGCGTTTACTTTGTTTTTTTGCTGTTTATAGTAAGCATGAGATGTAGCTTTCTAGAAGGATTAATGAACAGCACGCAAGGAGAGATGATAAATCTTGCATAATTTAGCATTACTCGGTGAGATCCAAAGTCTTACATCCTTGTTTTCATAAGGCCCCACTGTAGTGAAGGGATCAGAAGTTTTGCCTTAATGAATGAGTAAAAGTGAAAAGGAAATCAAGATTTGACCTTCCGTTGTAGTTCAGTTCAAACCTGTTTATGGTGAAGTGCAAAGAATAGTTACTGATTGTAGCGTGTTAAGATTTTGTTCTCCCCTGCCAAAGTAAACAACGTCTGCATGATTTAATGGGATTGTTGTAGGTATATTTTTAAATAAAAAAACCCCACGATAGTTGGTGGAAAGTAAATAGAGGCATAGAAGTCTTTTGAGTGTTTTACTGTTCATTCCTAAAATGCTTTAATTACTCACAAAGCACTGATTGTGACACCTTCATTGTATTGTAATCTGTACTCTGCAGTGGCACTGTAACAAATTACTCCAACTGGAAAAAATATTTTATTGTATTACTCTTTTATGGCAGGGATAACAGTACAGCAAAGTGAGACTTCAGTAGTCTGCTGGCGCCAGAAGGAAGGCTTTGTGAGGAGTCATCTCTTAATTTTTGCATTCCCAACAGGGAGTAAAATGTTATCTAATTAGCAAATAAAAATGTAGTTGTTGACAATGGGTGGTCTTCTTGGAGGTGAGAACTGAAGGACTTCCACTTTCCATTGCTCTGCCAAACCTTTACATTTAGCTACCCTTTTCTTTTATTCTCCCACTCGTCTCTCCACTATTTCTTTGTGGACCCCTACACTTCAGACACCAGCACTGATCTATCAGCACGCCTTCACCTTCTTTCTATGACTCATTTTAAGCCACCATTCCATTCTACAGTTAGTTTCCCCCTCTAACAAATGGAAAAAAATTCAAGATAAGCACACTGCTACAACCCAAATAACTACATGATCTTACTGTGATAATTCTTATCTTTTTCCTCCCAATATTTGGTGAAATTTCTTGTTGAGTCCTATCATAACTCATCCTAGCAACACAGGAATGCTCTTTATCTGTCTGTAAGGCTCCGAACACAATCATGGCACTGCGTAAATGTGCCCCCTTTTTCTGTAATTTTTTCAGCGTTATTCAGCATTGAAATTAGGTCTCCTAGCTTCTGTAATCCATCATCTCTTCTCAGCAGTGCAGTACTCTCCAGTGCAAAATGTTAGCAGAAATGGCTTGAAACTGTAAAATAAGCAGCGTAAAATGCAAAGTTGTGAGTATTTTAAAACCTGTGGTTTCCTGTTGCACCAGATCCCCATATATATATATATATATATATATATATATATATTTTTTTTTTTTTTTTTTTTTAAATGGCCTCTTTGCAAGTTGCATACGTAGGTTGCACGCAACACTTCCCCTACTGTATCTCCCTCCATTCTCCATGTATTTCACTTGTAAAGCTTCATTGCTGAGAGCTGAACTCTTGACACTAGGAAGTCTGTGATATGTGGCTTCCCCTTTTGAAGACAGCTTTCAGCTCTATTAACATTTTGTGCCTTACTTAAACTTTTCATAGGCAAACGGCGGAAGTCTTCTCCTAAACCTCTTGTTCTGAGCGAAGCTAAAAAGCAGTTAATGATCTACAGACTACCTCAGGTCCTCCGGCTGCACCTTAAACGATTCAGGTGAGGCATCTTACTTGGAATCACAGTGGTAGGTTTTTAGATAAGGAACTTACCAGAGTTCAGATCTTGCCAAAATACCATTTCTGGATCACATTGCCGAGCGTTATACATCGACCCTTATGAAAATGGAATTGGAGGAGGAGAAAGTAGAAGGATTGTGGGTTAGGATACATGGAGGTCAAGTGGGAAAGGGATTTGGTGGTAGGGGGTCTGCTACAGACCCCCACACCAAGGGGAAGAACTAGATTTGGAACTCCTGAGGCAGCTCTCGGAGACCATAAAGACTAAGGAAGTGGTAGTCATGGGGGACCTAAACTACCCTGACATCTGCTGGGAGATGCAGACAGCAAATTCCCACCATTCGCGCAGGTTCCTATCCTGTGTGCAGGACTTCCACCTGATGCAGGAGGTACATGGTCCCAATAGGGGGAATGCCTTACTGGATCTGGTATTGGCAACGGGGGATGACATGGTAGGGGACCTACAGATCAGTGGTTACCTGGGGGACAGTGATCACCAAATAATAGAATTCACCATAAGGTGCAGAGTGGGAAAGGTAACTAGCAGGGCGGAAGTGCTAGGCTTTAGGAAGGCTGACTTCAGCGAGCTCAGGCATTTAATCAACGATGCACTGCAGAGTAAGAGATTTGGCGAGATGGGAGCCCAGGAAGGTGGCTGTGTCTTAAGGAAGTGATCTTTCAGGCACAGAGGGAGACGATCCTGGTAAGGGGGAAAGGGGCCAAGAGGCTTCCTTGGCTGACCAGAGAAATCCAGAGCAGCCTAAGGGCAAATGCGGGGGCATATAAGCAGTGGAAACAGGGAGAGATTACTAAAGAGGAGTATGCCTCCTCCACTCGCAGATGTAGGGAGGCAGTTAGAAAGGCCAAAGCTACCATGGAGCTGAGGATGGCATCCCAAGTTAAGGATAACAAAAAAGTTTTTCAGGTATATAGGGAGTAAAAGAAAGGCCCAGGGTGGAATAGGACCTCTACTGAATGGGCAAAAGCAATTGGTGACGGACAGGGGGGACAAGGCTGAACTGCTCAATGAGTTCTTTGCCTCAGTGTTCCTAAGCGAGGGGCAAGACAAGGCTCTCACTGGGATTGTGGAGAGGCAGCAGCAGGCCGCCAGACTACCAAGCGTTGAACCTGAGATGTTGCAGAGTCACTTGGAAGGACTGGATGCATTTAAGTTGGCAGGCCCAGATGAGCTCCATCCAAGGGTACTGAAGGCATTTGCTGATGTCATTGCACAGCCACTGGCAAGAATATTTGAGCGCTCGTGGCACATGGTCCAGGTCCCGGAGGACTGGAAAAGGGCCAGTGTGGTCCCTATTTTCAAGAAGGGGAAGAAGGAGGATCCAGGCAACTATAGGCCAGTCAGTCTCACCCCCATCCTTGGCAAAGTCTTTGAAAAGATTATTAAGGCTCACATATGAGAGTCCAGCAGGAAAAATTATGCTGAGGGGGAACCAGCACGGGTTTGTAGCAGGCAGATCATGCCTGACTAATCTAGTCTCTTTTTATGACCAGGTTATAAAACACTTGGACGCAGGAGTAGGGGTTGATGTCATTTACTTAGACTTCAGGAAGGCCTTTGATACAGTATCCCACCCCATACTGGTGAACAAATTAAGAGGCTGTGACTTGGATGATTACACAGTCCGGTGGGTGGCGAATTGGCTAGAGGATCGTACCCAGAGAGCGGTGGTGGATGGGTCGGTGTCGACCTGGAAGGGCGTGGGCAGTGGGGTCCCGCAGGGCTCGGTCCTTGGACCGATACTCTTCAATGTCTTCATCAGTGACTTGGACGAGGGAGTGAAATGTACTCTGTCCAAGTTTGCAGATGACACAAAACTGTGGGGAGAAGCGGACATGCCGGAGGGCAGGGAACAACTACAAGCAGACCTGGACAGGTTGGACAAGTGGGCAGAAAACAACAGAATGCAATTTAACAAGGAGAAATGCAAAGTGCTGCACCTAGGGAGGAAAAATGTCCAGCACACCTACTGCCTAGGGAATGACCTGCTCGGCAACATGGAAGCGGAAAGGGATCTCAGAGTCCTAGCGGACTCCAAGATGAACATGAGCCAGCAGTGTGATGAAGTCATCAGCAAAGCTAACCGCACTTTATTGTGCATCAGCAGATGCATGACGAACAGATCCAAGGAGGTGATACTTCCCCTCTATCGGGCGCTGGTCAGACCGCAGTTGGAGTACTGCATGCAATTTTGGGTGCCACACTTCAAGAGGGATGTGGATAACCTGGAGAGAGGGTCCAGAGAAGGGCCACTCGTATGGTTAAGGGCTTTCAGGCCAAGCCCTATGAGGAGAGACTGGGGCACCTGGACCTCTTCAGCCTCCGCAAGAGAAGGTTGAGAGGTGACCTTGTGGCTGCCTATAAGTTCATCACGGGGGCACAGAAGGGAATTGGTGAGGCTCTACTCACCAAGGCGCCCCCGGGGGTTGCAAGAAATAATGGCCACAAGCTAGCAGAGAGCAGATTTAGATTGGACATTAGGAAGAACTTCTTCACAGTTAGTGGCCAAGGTCTGGAACGGGCTCCCAAGGGAGGTGGTGCTCTCCCCTACCCTGGGGGTCTTCAAGAGGAGGTTAGATGGGCATCTGCCTGGGGTCATCTGAACCCAGCACGCTTTCCTGCCTATGCAGGGGGTCGGACTCAATGATCTATTGAGGTCCCTTCCGACCCTAACATCTATGAATGTATGTACTGATGTATTGTTTTTCCATTGGCTTCCCATAATGGCAGATGCTAGGAAAGTGCCTCCAGATTAACACATCTCTGTGTAATTGTTATAGGGAAGAGGCAGAATAACATGCTTCCTGTTTTAGGAAGGTTTTTTTAGTGACTGGGTTTTGCAAGTAGTGCTCGCACACACAGTGGTGAGTGCCTTGTGAATGGCTGTTCCAAATCCCAGAAATGCTTTAACTGTAGTGCGCATCTTCCCTTTAGCATTGGGAGCAGCACCTGTTTCACGAGAAATAAACTACAAAGAGGATAAGAGACTGCAGAGTGAGAGCAAGAGCCCGTGCATATGCAGTAGAGATTTGTGTTGATTGCAAGGATTTGTGTTGCAGGTGGTCTGGACGTAATCACCGTGAGAAGATTGGGGTCCATGTCCTCTTTGACCAGGTATTAAACATGGAACCTTACTGCTGCAGGGACTCTCTCTCCTCTCTTGACAAAGAGACCTTTGTCTATGACCTCTCCGCTGTGGTGATGCATCATGGGAAAGGGTTTGGCTCAGGACACTACACAGCATATTGCTACAACACAGAGGGAGGTGCGTGTGCCTTATTACTGGGGAAACAGATCTTCAGTCTGTCAATATTTTGTTCCATAGACCTAGTACATTGTAAAGATAAGATTTACAGTCAAAGTCGTTCTGAATCAAGTTTCCTGCCATTTCATAGCTTGATTCCCAGAGCTTATTTCTAAAAGCATGTTGTCTTCGTGTGTGCGTTCGTTTAAAGACCAAAGACTGCTTTTCCTTCCCCTCCCTTGTAGCCTGTCAGGATGTCTTTATTGCTTGCTTTAACATGGTGTATGTTTCATTTTCCTGGGCTCTGTAATTCTGTGCTGCTGCTCGTGCTGGGCATCTGTCTGATTATTCTTGGGGTGATAAGATGTACAGAGAACGTTTTGAAACGGGGAAAGGGACTGTTCATGAGTCGCATCCACAGGGCTTTTCACAGCTACATCATCGCCCTCTAGTTTACTGTGGAATGAGGAAGAATTGTCTCTTTCCTCTTGAAAGTTGCATTGAGGAGGTTTTATGATATAATATTAAAATCAAATCGCAGCACAACTATATAATGTGAATTGGGTTAATACCATAGAAATGCTACAAGCATCTGATTACCTGGAGGTTCTTCCTAAAGTGCCTGTAAATTTAAGAAAGTGCTCCTCTATTCTCCATGTCCTTTTCTTGTGGATGTCGCTTATGAACAGTCCTTCAAAGCAAGCAAAATAATTGAGGGCCAGTTACTAATATTCTCTTTCTCCCTTTGGTTCGTAGGTTTTTGGGTCCACTGCAATGACTCCAAACTGAATGTATGTAGTGTGGAGGAGGTGTGCAAAACCCAGGCCTACATTCTTTTTTACACTCAAAGAACAGTGCAGGGCAAAGCAGGAATCTCAGAAACACAACTCCAAGCTCAGGTGCCGTCCAAAAACAGCGATAAGGACAGAAGACTGACATTCCCGTGACGGGAAGCATCAGTAACTCAATCGACAGTCTCAGTTATTTTAAACCATTGGTGTTCACATCTTTCCTCTTTGTAGGAATGAAGGCTCACTGCAGGAACAGATCAGAGCATCGTTGGCCACCCAGGGTCTGGAAAAGTGTGCGTCTGGCTGTGTAATTCTGTCACGTAAGATTGTAAACAGAATCTTCATCATTAAAAGGTATCGGTAAACCATGCTCTCCTCGGAACAAGAGAAACCACTTCAGGTGCCTAGTATCATGAATCTTATATTGCAAAAAAATTAAATAAGGCGCATGAAAGTAATGGCAGCCCATTGTGTTCAGCAAGGATACAAAATCATCAAACCAGCTCCTAATTACACTGCATTCCCTAGTGGGGAATGCTGATGAACCTCCAAAAGAAATGCACAGGTATGGTAGAACCTCTTTAACCTTGTTGTGAAGTATGGCTCAAAGCGTGACTTGCTTATCCAACTGCTCCGAAGGTATCTACAGTAGATGGGGCCCTACTGTGGTAAAAGCCGCTCTTGCTGAAGAGTCGCGAAGGCCCATTGATAGCAACAGGTCATTTTCTGGGTACTGGTGGGGCCCAAGCGTAGCATTTGAATACACCTTGACAGTTTTGTGTAGGCTGAATTGACTTGCCGATTTTACTTTTTCCGGTTTGCAACATGCAGTATAACAAAAGTGGTTCTGCTCTAGAAAGGGATCGTATAAAAATGGAACATTTTGTTTGACCAGATCTGCCCCTGCACGTTCAGAACTGTATCTGCTGACAGCTTTAAAAACAAAATACAGATCATGTTTACACTAAATTAAAATAAGGCCACGTCTATGCTACGCGCTTCTGCCAGCCCACCCCTGTATATCGGTCAGGGGTGTCAAGAAGTGTGATCCCTTGCCAGCACAGCTGAGCCAGCAAACGCTGTGAGCATGGGTGCAGCTTATACTGGCAAAATTCCAGTATTACAAATATAGCTTATTTTGCTCAGGGCATGAGGTTATAGCTGCAGAATAAGTTATACCAGGAAAAGCACAGTTTTGAGCATATAAGCTGTATCCATGCTAAGAGCACTTTACCAGAACAGTGTACTCGACTTTTATGCACGTTGGATCATTGCATAATTCATTTAAAGGCATGTTAAAGGCCCCACGTTTTTCTTCCTATTGCTTGCATTATAGCAAATATCCAGTATTTGCATCTTGGTTATGTGTTGAAACTACTTGAGCACAGACAGTATTTCAGATCCCTTTCTACTTTGTAAAAGCATTTTACTCTGGTTAATTGCATATTAATTGGCTCCAGAAATGGCGATGGGGAAGTGCCTTTCAAAAGGCTGCTGCTAGAAGCCTTGAAAAGGATGGGAGCTAGTTAGTTTTGGGGCTGTTAATATTGCAACACTGACAAAGCTGTGTACTCTGAGCAGTGCATGTGTTACCTTTGGATAAGTGCATCTCCATCAAGCAAGTACAAAGCCTTTTTTTCTAGCCCCAGTGCCATGCACTTAAACAGAGTACACTGTATAGCTGTACAATAAGCAGTTGTGAATGTAGGCCTGGCCTGTGTGAGCTGATTATACCACTGCACGGGCCATTTCAGCTATAAGAAAATGAGCTGGATTCTTTTGGTGTATAAACAGGGCTTTAGTCAGCAGCTCTCTGTCATACTTGTGCAAACTCAAGGAAGGCAGTGAGGTTGTACCAGTATAACTGAGTATAATTTGGGCCAGGCCATCTTGTATTTGTACCAATGTTCTTTCCTTCCTGCACACAGCTTGACTTTCGGGTCCCACAGTGCCTTTGCAGGGCTGCAAAATGTGTAAGAGGAAACAAACCACGTGTGCATGCAATCTGAGATTGACATGGCGCCTTTCCAATTATTTCCAAACACAGGGGTCTCCCTGCACTGTTTGTAGCCACTTTCTGGAGCAGAACCACATTTCAAACATCGGATGGTGTGAGGCTTTTGCTGTCTGTGCTCTGGTTTTGGGATCGCAGAAACGTTTGCGAGCGGT